GAAAGATGGATAATGAAAAAGGAGGGCAGATGAAAAATGACTGTGTTCGGACCATGGTTCTAACAAGAACATAGGACAGACATACTGACCAAAACAATGAAGAGGTCAGTCTTTAAAAAGTGCAAGCATAATGTTAATTAGAAGCAAAGGTGGTGAGACTTGGACTTGATTACTTTAGACACATTATCACAATAGAACAATCACTACAAAAGGATGTCATGTTTGCTAGAGTAGAACGCCAATGAAAATGAGGAACACACTCAGTGAGGTGACTGTCATACTATAGCTGCAATAAAGAAGTCAAACATACTAATGATCATGATGATGGTGCCAAACCGGGGGATGTTTCATTCTTTTACACATAAGGTCGCAGCTATGGGTTATATTGTCTACCCCGCCCCCCCCCCCCCCCCCCCCCCCCCACATACACAAAAAGTCCATTTGGATAAGCTACAGTTCTCAGTATCATGAGATTATCCTCCATTTGTGTTTGATGTTAGTACCCTATGTTGTAAATCCTAATTTCTATGATGTTAAGAACCAATGGTATGGGAGGAACTACCAAGTCCAAGCTGGACTGGAGGCATTAGTCCAAAAAAAAAAAAAGTCTTCAGGAATTGATGGAATGCCCTTTGAAATGTGTCAACAAGATGACGAAATGTTTCAACAAGATGGTGAAGCACTGGAAGTATTCACTCATCTATGCCCAGCAAATTTGGAAGACAGTTATTTGGCCAGCTGATGGGAAGAGATTCTATATTTGTATCCATTCCAAAGGAAGATGACCCAACAGAATGCTCATATTAGAGAACAATATCTACTAATATCACATGCAATATCTACTAATATCACATGCAATATCCACTAATATCACATGCAAGTAAAATTCTGCCGTAACCAACAAAGCTTACAGCAGTACATTGACAAGGCGCTGACAGAGGTTCAGGTCAGATGCAGAAGAGGCCTTGGAACAAGGATACCTTTGCTGATGCAGGTGGACCTTGCCTGAAAGCAGAGCATACCAGAAAGATGTTCACAGGTGTTTTTTATTGATTATGCAAAGGGATTCAGCTGTGTGGACCACAACAAACTGGACAGCCTGGAGAAGAATGGGACTTCCAGAGCCCTTCATGTGTTCATTTGCAACCTGTACATGGATCAAGAGGCAGCTGTGTGAAAAGAACAGGGGAATACTGCATGGTTTAAACTCAAGAAAGGTGTGCACCCAGGTTGTGTCCCCTCAGCACACATCCAATATGTGTGCTGAGAAAGTAATTCAAGAAATTGGCTTATAGGAAGACGAATGAGGCATCACCCTTGGAAGAAAGCTTATTAACAACAACCTTCAATATGCAGATGGCCCAACCTGGCTTGCTGCGAGTGGGGAGAACTTGAACCACTTGCTGATGAAGTTCAAGGAGTGCAGCCTTTAGTAGGAGCTACAATTCAATGGAAAGAACACCCCACCATTGGACCACTAGGTAGCATCACCATCGATGGAGAAAAGATGGACGCTGTCAAGGCTTTCGTCTGGCTTGCTTCTAGAAGCAGCAGTCAAGAGATTGGGAAAATCTGCTGCACACGACCGCTTTACAGTGTTGAAAAGCAAAGATGCTACTTTGAGGACTCTGGTGCACCTGACCCAAGGCATGGTATTTTCAATTGCCTCCTATACCTTTGAAACGCTGGGCACTGACTAAGAAAGACGGAAGGAGAATCGATGCATTAGAAATACGGTGCTGGTGAAGAATACTCAAAGTCCCTTGGCCTGCCCAGAGAACAAGCAATTCTGTCTTGGAAGAAGTACAGCCAGAATGCTCCTTAGAAGCAAGGCAAGACTTTGTCTCACATACTTTGGACATGTTATCAGGAGAGACCAGGGCCTCCAAAAGGACATCATGCTTGGTAAAGGGTCCGTGAAAAAGAGGAAGCCCCTCGATGAGATGGACTGACACAGTGGCTACAACAATGGCTCAAACAGAACCGTTGTGATGATGGAGCAGGACCAGCCCGCCTTGTGCTGTTGCTAGTTGCTGAGTCGGCACCGACTTGATGGCGTGTGACCACAGCAGCATGCTGTAGTTCTAGTCCCATTTTGGAATGAGTTGTCTGTTGTGTTAATAAGGCAGAATTCAGGGGAGAAGGTATCTTGAATCACCACCTTACTAGAGGTTGGGACTCAAGTCACTGCCTTACTGAAATCACATCCTTGCTTGAGCGCAGTGTGTCCTTTGGGTCCAAGGGGCCTGTGATGGTAACCTTCTAGATCCAGCAGGCAGAGAGCTGTAACACTGGGCCCTGACAGCTGGCAAGCAATAGCAGCAGCAGCAGCAGCAGCAGCAGCAGATTAAGGGTAGCAGCACTGAACCAAGAGACCAGCATGAGACAGAGCAGTGGGCTTCTCACTGTGGGCCCTTGGGCAGGAGGGTGGTTGTGGGAATAAGGTGCCTCTGGGCACTTGTTTGTGGAACTAGGATTGCCAACCCATAGAACAAGAAGTTGACTGTCTTCGGGCAGGAGGTTTGCTGGTGAGTGGAAGCTTGTTCCAGGCGCTTGGTGGAGCTGGCCAGCCCCACGGCGCTAGAGTTGAGTGGCTTTGCGCCGAGGCTTCCTGGTGCAGCGGAGTGCTGCTGGGCTTTTGTCTGCAGAGCTCAAGAGCTTTGTAACACTGGCTTAAACTGAGCAGAGGCCAGGCCAAGGAGCAGAAAGCTAACGGGGCCTGCTTGTGGGGCACAGTTGAGAAGACGCCGTCCTGATTCGAGAACGGTATCCCGAGCCTTGCTGGACCTGACTTCCCTCATAAACCCCGTACCTGTGAGTACAGTCTGTGAGTTCTGTGTGGTCACGGGAACAAATGGCCCAACCTAGCAGAGAAGTAGATGCTGTGGGAGGGGCCGCTGGTGGCTGGTGTCAGAACTGGTAAACAGGTTGGAGGCTGCTGATCTTGATTCTGCCTCCCCTTGGTGCAGTTAGAGACTTGGAAGTCAGTTGTCTCTGCTACACCATTTTTACAAATGGCACGAGGTTGGGAGAGAGAGGGAAACCGCATAGTCAGGAGTATCCAGGGAGCCAGGAAGTGTTGTGAGGTTTGGGGCATCCCGTCGTGTCCCTTTGAGTTTGGGAGGAGCCGCTATGGAGCTCTCGGACAAGAGGGTGATGCCATCAAGGCACGGTCTCTGGGCATTGCTCCAAACCCTCGTTGCCTAATATAATGCCACCGAGAATTTTCTAACAGTTTCCTTAAGAAAAGTAAAAAACGGGAAATTAATTTTAGAAGATTTTATTGAAGATAAGGTATCCAAAATATTGTCACCTCAACGCATGGCTCTAGGCAGTTTTCAAGGGTTCAAAAGCCACGCGTGGCCGTGGCTACCACAGTAGACATTGCCACTCTAAAACACGGAATGTAAGAATTACCTTGTGTCTTCAAAGGGTTTGTTCCTGCAACATATCACATTCTCACTTCTAGGGCTACTGTTTAATACATCGAAGAACAATGCCTTACATAGATTATATAGTCACCCAAAGTGGGTGATACCATTCCCCTGGGGCAGGGGGTGGGGTGGGAGGGGCCCAGGGTGAGGGGGTGCTGGAACCATCCAGTGGGGCGCTGCAAGGGCAGATACCTACACTTTATCCTGGATTATGGGCTAGAGTACAAAAGTTTTTCATTGCTTAGGGGGTGCTGAGATGTATTTATATTATTGACTGCTTAATGGCCAAATCATTTGGGGAGCCTATATCTAACAACCTGGTTTTGAGCTGACCTCTCCACCTTAATAACTGTGTGACCTTGAGCAGGTTATGTCATCTTTTGGAGACAATGAAGAACAAGCAAAGTCAATGTGCTTCTAATAGGAGTGTGTGTACGTTTAACTAATTGGAGCCCTCAGCAGTTCCCCAGTAGCTGCTCCTCTGACTTCCCACGCCTCCAGATAGAACACTTTGAATGTCCTTATCCTGGAAGAAGTATTCAGGCTCCACATCTCCTGCACCCACTTCTCTCCCATTCAAAGCGACCCATAGGCCTGCTGTCCCCTCTTGGTGGCAATTTTGTTGTCTTCCATTTCTATGTGAGCCCATCACACGTATTAGAACTCAATCAGTGGTCCAGCCCCTCAACTCTTGTGTTTGGATACAGAACCCCAAGCAGCCAGTGGCTGTTCCTCCAGTCTCTCTCATTGCTATTTCCCCCATGTGTCCAACTGCTGACCTTGGAGTTAGCTGCTCAGTGGGGAGCCGCTCCTTCACAGACAGTACAGTACACGGCTACCTGCCTGTACCTGTGTCGGGCGTCTAGGCAGGACTCATGGAATCCTCACATTTTGCAGAAAGAAGTCTCCTCCCAATCTCCATCCAGCCCCGGCCTCCCCAACAAGCAAGAGTGCTCTTTCCAGGCCTGAGGCCATTGCTGCCCTGTAGCCATCTTGATTGAGTTGAGCAGGCACCACACGGAAAACCCGCAGCCCGTTTACCAGCCCGGGCCCCTTTCCACAGACCAGATGCCAGGCCGACCCCAGGCTCGCAGCTGGATCACAGCTGCAGCTGCCAGCCTGCCTCCGGCCCCAGTGCCCTTAAGGGAACACACAGTACGAGGAGACAAACTGCTCTCTGTGTCTTGAAAACTCATGGCCCCCGTGATCCCAAGTTGGTTTCCCCCAAACAGGATCTAAATACACGGCTGGTGGGCAGGTCCCAGTGGGGTGGAAAAGAAAGGTGGCGGGCGTGCCCCATCTTTCCTCCTCCTTTCAAAAGCCAACCCTTGCCCTACTGGGGTGTTTGATAAATTATTGAATATAAAGATGATCTGTTCTGCACCCCTCACCTGATTCATACGAAAAAGTGAAAACAAGCCAAAAAGACATCTCCATTGAATGTTTACAAAGTCCACCCGACCGCACCAGGCACTGCTTCCCCTAAGGGACCCTGGGGGAACGGTGTCGGGGAGCTGTGGCCTCTCCCCCCACACACACACCCCGTCCACCCCCCCAGCCGCTTACCACGAGCACTACTCTGGGGGTGGGGCCCTTAATCTCCCGAGGTACAACGCCAAACCGCTGGCTGTACATTTTCAAATCCTCTCAGGATGGGGGCAGCGTCCACCGCGACCACGACCTGCCCCAGGGACCAGCGGGTGCGCTTCGCGGGGGAGAGGGGCCAAGGCGGGAGGTTGGGCGGAAGTTGATTCCGTCACCATGGGGACGAGCTGCCGGCGCGCGGGCGACTTCCCCGGGAGCGAGCGGACCTGCAGGGGCCTCGCCCGGCCTGGGCTGCCCGCGCCCCTGCCCTCCCCTGTGCACCCACGATGGCAGGACAAGAAAACGAAAGACCCAGCTCCCTTAACGCGAAGAGAAGGCGAAGGTCTACTTAGTTCCCATCGACTTCGTACTCAGATCCTAAGCGCCCGAGGAAAGCTTCCTGAACGTTCTGTAGGAAGGTTAAACTTGGTGACTTGCAGCAGGCTGATCTCGATGCCGGCAATAATCTGCACGGGACACCCTTGTTTGTGTAGTTCTTTACAATTGACCAGGTATTTTCATACATAAAATCTTGGAGCCTCACAAGAGCTTTGGGGACAACGTACAGCAGGTCTTCGGGGTACAGCTACGACAAGGCTGAGCGCCTAAGTGCTTTGCAGCCCAGCCCAGCAACAATAACTGTTTAATTGATAGAGACTCTCCACAGCGCTGGGCAGGATGCAGAGCTCAGCCTCGGGGTAGCCCCGGAGGAGAGGGCAGAGCAAACGGGCGGATGGGGCAGTCGTCCGACCCCGCACAGTAAAGGCCAAGGGTCTGAAAGCTGAGGGCCACGGTGGACCCGGGCAGGGCACGCAAGTCCAGGTAATCAGGCCCTGAGGGCTACGATCCTAGGCAGGGGCTCGCCAACGCGGATCAGGGGACTCAGGTTGGGCCCGCAGGGCACCTGTATTTCCAGTCAAGAGCAGGGTGGCAGTTAACACCTAACTTTGGTACTCCCATTCTAAAGGCGGGGCGGGCACAGGGCACAGAAAACAAGGAAAAATAACCGAAACCAAACCAAACCAACAGCATTACATCAACCACTGACGTGAAATAAAGAACCGGTGTGAAGACCCACTTAAGGCTGCCATTTACTGTGAAGGGGCTTTCCTTGGTAATCGGTACTCCGTCCACTTCGGATTTTTTATGTGGTTCCTTTCTGGATTTTTAAATTCCATTTCCTGCATGGCTGGTTCAGCTTTTGAGCCATAAAATAATGTCTTCTCTTCTAATAATCTCTCTCAATAATTCTCATTTTGTCTTTTATTTTCCCCCCTCCTATGCTTCTTCTTTCAATTGCAGTTCGGTAAAATACTCCTTCTCATTTACTGCTAAGAATTTACGTAGCCTGAAACAAACAAGAGAGAAAGCCGTTAGACTGTCGCCCCGGTCCCCATGCAGTCCTGAGGGAGAGCAGCTCCAGGATCTTGGAGTCCCTGGGGCGCCCGGTCTGGGGCGGAGGAGCCACCCCCCACGGGGCAGAGCCCAGCCCAGGCTGAGCCTTCCACCACAACAGTGCTTGACTAGGGAGCCGGGCGCACTTGGGGTCGAGTTCTCGCAGCCCGGAAGGTGGTGTCGGAGATTTTGGAGGCAGCACCCGGACGTCTGAGTCGCCCTGGGCGTGGCTGGCAGCTGAACTGCGGTTCAACCTGCTTATTGCTCTTCCAAGTGGCCGCCTGTCCTTCCGCGGCCTAGGACAAACGTCACAGGCAGGCCCTCAAGCGGCGCCTCACCCCCAGGCAGGCCAGGCCTGGGGCCGGAATCCCAGCAGGCCCCGCGCGCGCCCCCTAGCGGGCGCATCCGGAAAGCCCAAGAGCCCAGAGAGGAGGCGCCCTCGCAGCCTCGGCCAATCCGGGAGGCCGGAGAAGCGACTGCCCCAAGGTCCTTCCGCAAGTCAGGGAGGCTCAGGAGAGAACCGGGCCTGGGCCTCTCCGCCGGACCCCCGATTCTCAGAGGCGGTCACCACCAAGACCCGCTCAAAGAAAACACTAAGTATATAAATCAGAACGGGGACAACAAAAAGCGGTTTTAAATGATTTAAAAATAGAACAGCTAGAGACAGAAATGGTTTAAACGATTCCCAATCCCTGTTGTTCCCCAGCAAGGTTCACACCATCCTTCTGAATTTCCTGAATTCAAAATTTCCACCCTTCAATTCCATGAGAAAGTTGAAAATCCATTCGTTCGCGTTACATCCTGATGCCTTCAATGGAAGGGCCTGGGTAATCTCGCTCTCGTCTCCCAGAATTAAGTGCAGTCTCTACGTCGACTCGAACCAGGTTCACAATACTCCATGAACGGCCAAACAGGGGCAGAGACCAACCAGCACGTGTTTCGGGGTGGGCAGGCTTGGCAGAATATCGGTTCTCGCTGGCACCACCATGAAGTCTGTGGTCTTCAGGTTCGAATTTGCAGCAACGGAGTTTTATCCAGTGGTCCTCAGGTGAGCAGTGTGACCCTGGGGTGCGGATGCATGGCAGGGTGGGTGGCTTGGGCACAAGTCACCAGAATTCCTTTCCCTACATGCTTCCAGCCAGGACTGGCCACAAGACAGTGGCGGGTGGGTGGGAGCGCGGCAGCGGCGGCGTACTGTTTTTAGCCTCAGAGGGCTGCAGGCACCAGGCGTGGCTGCCGTTCACACAGGTGGTCATGCATCCGCTGGCTCACCTTGGTGCAGTGGAGCAGCAGCCAGGCCTGCAGCTGCTCCATCGGTCCTGGGTCTTGCTTCCGCCGCTCCACTTCCAGGGCCAGCTGCACCGCTAGGTCTGTGATGAGGGGCACCAGCTGTTTCTGCACGACAGTCGGATCATCGAAGCTGGGGGTGGTGGGAGGCCGCCACGGGCTCCAGGCCATCCTCGGGGGCTCCAGCTCCAGCCCGGGGCCTCCATCTCCTGCCTGGGAACTCCAGTATGTTCTTGCTTGCCCACACCTTATATCCATCTTCCCTTCCCAACTCCCTGCCCCGCAGGCTTCAAGCTGCAACACTAGACTCGGAGACCACAGCTTTTCTACCAGTTCCCATAACTGCCTATGGTCCATTGGGCTGCCTGTGGTCAACCTTCTATGAAGTCCCTTAGAATACATGGGTTCTGCTTTTTTGGTTGCACTGTGAATGACACATGGTGACCAGACTTGTAACTCCTAGGTCAGGACCAGCCAAGAAATTTTAATTTAGAACAGACATGTCAAGGTTAACTGAATGCCAGTGGTGGGGTCAGGTCCTTGGGTGAGCAAAGCAGTATCAGATTAAGCAATCTGGGCTGCACTAGGTTAGTTGGGCAGGGGCAGAGGAGGGTGGCAGAGAACTGGCCGTGTGAATGCAGATCGGGTAATGGCTGGTCCCCACTGCATGACTCAGGGCACAGCAGGGAGTTGCCCGGGCGCAGAATCATAGACAGCACTCCTCTGGGCACCAGCACCATAAAGCTGGCTAAGTAACAAGTGCAGGCCTTGGCTTTTTAGGAATGAAGAAATTAAGTGAGACAAGGCAGTGCCAAGACAGGCCGTAGGGCAAGGACTCAAAGCAGAAAAGCAAGCCTTCTAGTAAACATGTAAGCGGCAAACAGAAACCAAACACAAAGGTCTTAGGGGGACAGTGGGCAAGTGATTGAGACACAGGGTCCACAGGATGCAAGTCTTGGCTCTGAAGACTTCTGGGAGTCAGGAGGGGAGTGAGGGGACAAGCAAACCAGGCAGCAGCCAGTAAGGATGGTTGCCCTTCAGGGTCTGATGACTGCGTGTACCACCACCAGATGAGGAAGGCGCCCACCTCTGGTCACACAGCTGCTCCGACAAGGTGACCAGTCTTGCCATCTCCCAAACCATGGCAGGGGCAGAAGTGCAGGGGCTCATTAGACAGGTTCAGCTAATCCAGTGTTTGACAGTGCCTGGGGCAGGGGGAGGGGACACGCTGGGATGATCCAGGGGCCTACAGAAGCAGCCAGCTACACCTCATCCTAGACGACGGACTGCAGAATGAAAGTTAGTCCTTGCTGGGAGTGCCGAGTTTTCGCTTTCCCTGAAAGGGGTCGGGGGTGGGGGTGGGGGTGGTCGGGTTTGGACCAAATCTGTTTGGGCCTCCCTGTGACTTTCCCAGTGCTTTCAAGGTCACTGAGGACTTCCGTTGCTGTCCTACTGTGAGACCAACACCGTACTGGGGATGGGATCATAATGGAGCAGAGTTGCTGACAGCCAGGTATCAACACCTTGGGTGTGAGTTGAGGCTCTACCATGATTAGCTGTTAAGACACTGAACATGTGATTCTCTGTCAGTTCTCATCTGTAAAAATGGGCAAAATCAAAGACCTCCTATAAGACTCTTTTGCAGATGAACCAAAGTGGAACCAGAGGTGGAACTGACCCAAAGGAGGAGCCCACCAAAGTCAATCTTTCCTGGCTGACATTTTCAGCTGCTAGCTCCCCAAGGAAACAATTGTGTGACATGACCTTGTTGGCTCCAGAAGCCTTATCAAATCCTCCATTTGGCTGCCGGGTCTGGGCAGTTTTGTGGTGGATTGGACTCTGTCACCTTCCCCAAACCCTAGGTACGTACCTTCTGAGCAGACTCGGCCCTAGAGCAAGCGAACACCTTCTGTCCCCACCCCCCACCACTTCCTTCCTCCACAAGGCCGAGCCCTGCCCCTCTGGTTTACTGGCAGGCTCCCCCATTCCCACTGACTCCACCATAAACTTTGGCAGCCACCCTCTGGCCTAGCACCTCACCAGATCTGTTTCCTGGCTCATAAAGGCAGTCGGCAAAGGTACCTCTCAGCCCTAGTCCGCAGAGGCCTCTAGTCTACTGTTTTCTAGCTTCAGGCTTTTAAACTGCTGGGCCTGGAGGGGGGTGGGTCTGCAAACTGAATGAGGATTACTATATGCAAAATGGAGCCACACAAATCCCGTCCTTCTGCTAGGGCTCCTTGCTCGCTCCACCTTCTGTTCTGCAACCAATGTAGGATATACCACCATCACCTCCACTGGTATGTGACCTATCATGCGCGGGCCGTGTGTCTGTCCCACACTAGATGATAAGCTCCCTGTGAGTGGGAATCCTTTGTCCTCTACAGGTTGCAACTAACAATGCTGACCGCCGTCATTGCTGGGTCCACGGGATGGCGGGGAGGGGAGGGCTGTACAAACTAGTTTATGGACTCAAAGGAACCCATCTGCACAAGCCGACAGTCCATGCTGATCTGAGTGTAAGGTGTAGGGCAGGGCCTGTGAGCACCCCCAACAGGCCCAGCTGGCAGGTCCCAGGCTGCAAACTGTCCAGCTTGGGACCAAGTGCTTCTGCCCATCCCACCTCTTGGCCCTGCACTTTTCCTGTGACAGCCCCCCACCACCACCACGAAGGGGCATCTCACCCAATCATCTTTCGGAGAACTCAAAAGCCTTCCACACCTAAGACACTGAACTGACTCCCGGTAAGAGTGAGAAGCCCGAGCCCTGGGTATGTTCTTAAGGCTGGGGCTCGAACTTTCCTTACCTTCCTTTTTCTTTCAGATCTCATCTCAGGGCACCAAGTCCTCCCCAACCCTCCCAGGAGAGCACTGAACTAGGTTCTCTTGGGGTGGGCCCCAGGAGAAGGTTCTAGGGTTCTGGAGAGCCCCCTCAATGTTCATGACCAGCCTGAGGGGCCCCTACCGCCCACTGTGCCCTGCTATATCTGAGCCAGGGCCCATGTCTGGCTGGCCCCCACCCCATCCCACCCCTCACTGTGCGGAGCACACCTTGGCAACCAGACCGCTGTATCCCGGAAGCGGCTTCCACCCAGGCTGAAAATCTCCGTGATCTGGGGAAGAATTAGCAGCATGGGTCAGTGAGGCTGGAGTGGGGTTCGGGCAGGACTAGGGCAGGGCGGGGCCCCCAGCACTGACCACGGGCGTTCCAGCCCCTCCTGCCTCCTCCTCTACGGCCGAGTCAGAAGCAGAGTCATTCCTGCTCACTGCCCTGTCCTCTTCGGGGTCACGTGGCTCCTGCTTCACCCGCGGCAGGATTGGGTCTCCTGTCTGGGAAAGTGGGAAATGGACACACTCAGATGGGCAGGGCTGGCTCACAGTTGCCGTCAGCCAACCGTCCACAAGCCCACTGATCCCGCCGCCATCACCGTGCAGCACAGACAGGCCAGCTCTCTGCCTATACACCGCCCTCATTACCATTCCTCAAAGATCTCCATTGCTCTCAGCGGGCAGCAAAGCGGGTAAGGCTAGTTGCCTGGGAAGGGGGGGGGG